AAAAAAAAAAAAAAAAAAGGCCAGTAAATCTCACCTTCCCAAGAAAGTGCTTTTTCTGACCTTCTCTGAGCTCCTGTGTGTGGTACCGCCCTTACCACCGCAGACCCTGACCATACTTGCTAGTGGCAAGTGTGCAGGTTTTCATTTCACACGGACCTGGATTCCAGTCCCAGCTGTATCACTTATGTGACCTTGAGCAAGTTACTTTAGCAAGTTGGTCAGCTCCAACACCCACCAGGATGAGCCTGATATGGAGAGGGGTGGGGGCGGGGGATGGCCGCTGAGGTCAGGCGTCTGGGTGAGCCTGCTTTGGGAGAAAAGCTCCTGGTAGGGGAGGAAACATGCCCACACTCTTCAAATCCAGAAGGCAATTTAGCGGGGAGGAAACCCCACATTAACCCCCACTCACCTGGACCATGGTTGGCAGGTGGCTGACAGCCATTCTTTCTTTGATGAGCCCTCTTAGGGACAGGCAAAGTGCTGAGGAGGCAGGTGTGGTGCTTTGCAACTGCAGGACTCCTCAGGCTAGAAGCGTCTACACACCTGTTATGCGAGAGGACTGGGTCAAAAATCTCACACTGCAGTCCTGAGCGAGGCTGTGAGCATTCACATACTGGAAGCCGCCAGTATCCCCAAGCAACCAGTTCTTTGGTCCCTATTTGCTCCGAACTCTCTCTCCTGTTGCTGAAGGTATTTCCACTTGCCTCCACTGGAAAGTGAAGGACTCACCACTCTACTACTTTCCCCACTAGTCAGAGCCTCCGTGTCTTCCCTTCTGTATCTTAAATACGTGACTTCTCCTTGCACAAAGCTTGCTCCACTCCCAGTTCTCACGTTTTCTACCACCCTCCGGCCTCACTGAGGTTTCAAGAGAATTGTGTCTTCTCCTGGAACAGCTGCCTGATCCTGGGAGGGGAGTGGAGGAAGAGGTGTTGGAGGGTCGTCTTCTTTCTCCTCAAAAAGGAGGCTGGATATTCACTGTCCACGTCTTTCAGGCCAAGCCCCTCCTCTGGCCTCAGGCTTCTCATTCTCTGGGGCCCAATATGGTTGACCTGGAGTCAAAGGCCCGCCAGAAGCGGCGCATTTGTGTGTGCTGGGGGTGGGGGAGATTAGAAATCGCATTCACACAACACATCCTCCACCCCTGCCACTCTGCCAGGTCCCCAGGAGCTGCTGCTGCGCCTGCACAGCGGGCGTCCCTGCCCTTCCCGAGTTCCTCCTACAGGACTGAGAACCACACCGGGGGCGTATCTATCAACCCAGAGTAGAGCGGCTCCAACGCACACGCCAGAGGCCCTGACCCCTTCCTCCTCCACATGCACTCACAGATCCGGACCCCAAACCCAAGATGCCCATAGAGGGCTGTCCTCCCCTTTTCTGCTTGGAATCAAATCTCAGACATACATTCCGGGAAGTTTGGGGCATTAACTCAGCGTCCTCCAGATGGACCACCACCCGGTCCTCCTAGGTTTTCCCGCCGCCTCTCTCCCCAGGCCCGACTACCCCACGACCGCGCCTGCTCTCCCTCGGACTTGGCCACCGTGCCTGGTCACCCCCGGGTTGCCCTTCGAGGAGCCTCTGCCGGCGGCGAGAGAGCGCCACCGCCACATCGCAGTCGGAACACAATGAGCTGGAGTCTGCAGCCGGGGTCAAACTGCGCTTGCGCGTTGCCCTGGGAACCGCTGAGCCAAATCCCCATAAGCCTCAGAGCTGCCGCACTTCTGCGGCCAGACTCCACTTCCCAGAGGGAGCGTCTGCGGCGACCGTGGGGCTGCGCGCCTGCGCACAGGGGCCCCGCCCGCGGCCTCGGGCAGAGCGGCCCCGGACGCCGGAACTACATTTTCCAGGGGCCTCCCAGTCCCCCACACTGCTCACCCCCTGCGCTCCCAGCTGGGGCGATTCGTTCCGTTCTGTTCACACTCTGACTCGGCTTCTGCCTTGAAATAATGCCTAAGAAGATGCAGACCAGCAAAAAGGTGACGGTGGGACAAAGGAGCTTAGTCCAGGAGAGCGGCGCCTGCTCGGTGACGAGAGCGGATTCGGGAAGGTCCCCGAGGAAAGAGCAGGAGGCGACAAGCTGACCCGGCGCGTTCCCGACGGAGAACCGCGCCGAAAAGACTTGGAAAGGCGGCAGAATCGCGCCCTTGGCCCAGAGCAAGCAGCCGATACTTTCAGTCTGGCCTGGCTGTGGGGCCAGTGCGTGGTTCGGTGAAGACGTGATAGTAATTTCGGGAGGACAAGGATGTTGGACCGGGACATCCTGCCGCGGCGACTCAGGACAGAACTGATGGTGGCTAGAAACAGAGTGGCGGCCAAGGGGACCGAGAGGGGGCACGCATAGACTTCGTTCTTGGTGACTTAGCAGATGCTGGGGTGAGGGAGAGAAGGAGCCTCGATGCTAAGCAGTCTCTGTCTTGGACAGCGGGGTGGTATTTAGAGAAGGAGGTATTTATTTTTGTTGACCATATTTTGCGGGGATGGGCAAGGATGAGATGATAATATTTTGAATACGTGATTTTCATGGAGATTAGAAAGGAAAGATGAGAAGGTTTTAACTTTGTTGGTGGTGAAAAAAACAGGACCTGAGGTTTACGAATTAGGGGATTATTGGCCACCTTTTAGGGAGCAGTGTCAATGGCTTTATGTATGTGACACTACAGCATTCTGTTTGTGGTTTTATTGATTTCATTCTATAGAGACTTATGTGCCAGGCACTATTCTAGGGGCTGGAGAAGTAGCTGTGACAACCCTGCCCTCATGGAGGTTACCAGGTAGTGTTTACACAGTAAAGCTGTGCTGGGGTGAAGGCGTGACGGGGTGGGGGATTGTTTTAAGTAGCGTTGGGGGAAATTCTTTTTGAGGAGGTAACATCTGAGCAGAGATTTGAATACAGTGAGGGAGGAAACCATGTGAGTATCTGGGGGAGAGCCTTCTAAGGAGAGGGGACAGAAGTCCTGTCCAGGGAGGTGTGCTTGGTGAGTTTCAGGCTTGGCAAGGCCAACATTCTTGGCGAGGGCATAGTGAACAAGCAAGAGTGCAAGATGAGGTTGCAGAGGTAACTAGAAGCTTTAAAGCCATCACAGAAATTTTGGATATATTCTGTGTGAGGGGAAACCCTTGGAGGGGTCTGAGCCAGAGTCACATGGCTGAGCACATCTGAGAACAGACTTATGGTGGGGCTAGAGAGGAACGAGGAAACCAGTAAGGAGGCAGTTACAGCAGATCAGGTGAGGGATAACCTCCCACGGTTATGTAACAAGGCATTTGTTTTGAGAGCCTAGTGATTCTAAGATAATTAAGGGTTCCGGATGCCATGCTAAGGAGTCTGTATATTATTATGTCTTCAGGTAAATGAGGATGATTAATAATACTGAACACTAACTACATGTTGGGTACTTTTATAAGCACTTATATTATTATCTAATGCAACCCAAAGCTATGAGGTTTGAACTATTAACAAATGAGAAAACTGAGGCACTGATACCTTAAACGCCTTGCCTGAGGTCCCACATTTTGTAAGTGGAACGAGTACTCCTGCTCCTGCTGATAGAGGAAAGGTGCAAAGGTGTCCTCATTACTGTTGCCCAGGATGGCTGAGAGCTGATATACACGGGCCCAAGTCTTCCAAAACTGAAAAAGTAGTGAAACCTCCATTTATCTGACACATTTGTCCTGGTGATGCTATAGTCTGTTAGGAGTACCTAGTAGGTACCCTTCCACAGGCAATTAAACAAACAAAAAAACCCCACAAGAATTCAAACTGAAGAGAAACAGTGAAACCTCTGATCTGAAGCCTAGTACACTTTTTGTCTAGCCAGAACTCACACGCTGACTTACTCGTTCTGAGCACTTATCAGATCCCCGCCCCCGCACCAGCCCTCTGAGACACACACCAAGGATTCTCATTAGGATCCAGTCTCCTCAGAGAAAGGAGGTTGACACGTGGTCTGTAGGACACCTTGCCCTGTCTATTCTATTAATCATGGATATACAAATGAACACTTATATTTGACCAAGATCTGCAACCCCCATCTGCTTAAATACTCTTCCTCAGGATAGTGGCTACTTGCTGGTAGTTCCTGGTGTTCCTTTGTTGGACCTCGCTGGGACCCTTGCAGGATGATGTAATAAGATCTTCCTTTAACTTCCTTTCCTGTTGCTTCTTGACTTCCACTCCATGCTTGAATCATAGACCATGTAGAATTTCCTAAATGTACACTGTGCCTTCTTGCCATCATGCCTCCTCTTCCCTCCATCTTGCCATTTCCTCTCCTGTCTTCTCTGCACCCAACTGGTTCACTCCCATAGCAACATGGCTAGGAGCTCCTTGACAGCAGGACCAGAGGTCAATTCATAGAAGCTGAGCTATGCTAGGAGCTCAATAAATATTAGGTGCATGAATGAATTACACTAGGAGTAGGAGCAGTATCTTTCTCATCCTCATGACTCCAACATGCAGCACAGGCAAAGCACTCTTAAGTCTGTTGACTGCAGGCAGGAATTGAATTGTGCCAATATGTGTATAGGAAGTTTTTCAGTCCCTTCCCCTCCAGATCTTTTGTGACTTTTTTAGGAGGCAGAGGCAGTCCCCATGAACATGCAGGCGTTGGGGGCTGTGCACAGTCTAGGAGGGGACACCTTATTCTGCAGCGCCACCTCTATTCTCCACCAATCAGAGAACCCTGATTGGTAACATCTTTAAATGCCCAGATGCCCATTTCACAGAGCTCAAGTGGAGGAAATCGCCCTATTTCAGTCTTCTGAATGATGACCCACCCATAGAGAAAATGGTACCTTCATCACCCCCTTCTCACTGTGTTTCTTGCTATCTTCGAAGTCATCCTACTGCATCCTAATTCCTGGTTTATTTCTGACTCCCCTATCATGAGCTCCTTTAGAGCTCTAGATCTCCAGCAACTACTAAGTGCTCAGGAAATATCTCATGACATATTGGTCATACCTGTCAGTTTGCTGCACCCAGGACTGACTGCATGGGCACTACATGGTAGCCCTTATTCCTACCAGCTGACTGGAAAGGGGATGGGTACTTTGCCAGAAAGAGTGACTTGTGAGGCCTGTCTTAAAAAGATGATTGGACCAACTGAGTTTCTTTCATGGAATTTTAGAATTAGGGCAGAGAGACTAGGGGGTCAGAAGATGAAAGTTCACTAGATACGACCTTTCTTAAATGTGAGAGCTGATGCTGACATTTTGGGTCAGCAAACTTTAATGGTAACTTTAATGGTAAGCAAAGGAAGCCAACCACCAGTGAGCCAATGGAAAGAGCAGCAAGAACCCATGTGGTCGTGGTAGCAGTGGTGAAGGGTGAGGATGAAGAGAGAGGGAGAGAGGGCACACACATATCCTTGGCTGCTAGTGGATCCCAGTTGCCATGAGGTCTGGCTATACCATAGTTCATGTTACAAAGAAACCTTTTTTTCTCAAATACTACCAAAACTTCAGTTCTACTTGAAAATAGACACCGAAGTGAAGGGCTTGGGCTTAACAAGAGGATTTAACAAGAGTCTTCTCTCCCAGACCCTTATACTCTGAATGCTCTTTCCAGGTGTTTCCCAAATAAGCAGCATCCTTTCCCTTATTCCAAGATTGGAGGCTTGAGAAGAACGGGGTAAATCTTTGACACTGAGCTTCTCCACTCTTCACCCACACACTCTGTCATCTTGACTCAGCATGCAGATCCTGGGTCTCCTTGACCATACACAAATATAAACTGTTGGAGTTAGAACAGGCAAAGAAGGGGAACAAAACACTGAACTGATAATATCCTCAGAAACACAGATGTTCAATAATCTCTCTCTCTTCACTCAGTGTCCCTTCACATTTTTTTCTTATACCCCACCTGATCTCAAGAGATATAAATGGAGGAGAACAAAAGAGCCAGAGAAGAGGCAAAGGTAGAAAATAGATGAAAATGATAAAGATGGCAGCAAAATAAAGGACCTAAAGGAAGGCACATGGCAAGGAGAAGAGGGAGAAATGAAGGCATGGAAACCTAGGATGGATGCAATGACTCAAAATTGGCAGAAAAGTAACCCTGAGAAGTCACATAGCCCAGAGACTGGGTTGCTGAAGGGCCAAAGGATTCATGGGGATTTCCTCCACTGCCACCACAAACATCTTCTGCACCCATTGTTTCTTGATTCCTGCCTCTCACAGTGGAAAGTTTCCTTCCTCCTGTTGAAAGACATTCCTACAGGCCCCACCTGTGCTCCAAATATTATTTTCCCACTTTTAGCTGCACATCCCATCCTTCCTGCACCTTCTGACTCTCCCATACCTCTTCTTTTCAGTTATGAACTTACTCAATCCTACCTTAAATCACACAAACACACCCTTGCAGATTGCTGGCTCGCTCGATCGACATCATTCTCAACGCCCCTTTTCTGTGCCTACTTCCACTATCGAGGCTAGATGGGCTAACTACTTCTTTGCTCAGCCTCCCTTGCTGTCATGGAACACAGTTGTCATCAATGAGATGTAAGCAGCAGTCTAGTGAGGGGCTTCTGGGAAAACGTTTCTGATAAAAGGCACTGATGTTGCTGGTGCTACCCACCCCGCTTTCTTCCCTGCCTTGAATGCAGATACTTTACCTGAATCTATGGCTGCCATCGTCTGACCATGATGGAAACCCCATGAAACTCAATACATTGAATTATTTTGCCTGTGAACCAGTGCCAAGCACCTCCATATTTATTTTGTGAGAAAAAGAAGTCCCTATTTGCTTATGCCATTGTTGACTGGGATTTCCATTTTTGGTAAGGCCAAAGCTCTTCTGATAGATATGCCCTCTCTCAACCCCAGCCTCCTTCTAGTTGTTTCTAAACTACTCCTGCCTTAGAAAAGCTGCTAAATCCTTTTCAACATTAAACTCACTCTTCAACCCAATAAAATTTACAGAGGTTTTAAATGATCTTTTTGTTTAAGACAGGGTCTTGCTATGTTGTCCAAGATGGCCTCAAACTCCTGGCCTCAAGCGATCCTCCTGTCTTAGCCACCGAAGTAGCTGGAACTACAGGTGCATGCCACCACGGCTGGTTTAAATCATGTGTTTCAAATCAATACCCAAAACCAAATGACATATTTCTATATTACTTTACTCTCCATAGCATCTGACAATATTAACTATTTCTATCCCTGTGTTAAAATTCTCTTTTTACTTCTGAAGCAACACAGCCGTCTCCCGGCTTTTCTTTTGGCTATTTATTCCTCTCAGCTTCTACTGATTCCTGTCACCTCTACTTACCCACTCAGTGACAGCACTCTCAGCAAATCCTTTATCACTGATCTACTCTTTCTTGTCTTCACTTAGATGTCCCAAAGAAATCATCGAAACACCCCCAAACGGAACTCTTGCCCCACAAAACTAATCAACTTTATGTGTTTTTAATTATGCCCCCTGTCCACCCAAATAAGAAATTCAAGTCATCCTCAACTCTTCCTTCTCATTCAAGTGGCCATATTTAACCAGTTACCTAGTTTTCTAGATTCCGCCTCATTATTGCTTGAATTCTTCCTTTTCTCTCCCACCACACTGCCACTTCATTAGTTCAGTCCTTAGAAAACAAGAATATTTTATTCATTTTGATTTTCTAATCATGTCCAGCACATATTTAGGACTTGGTAAATGTGTGTGAAATAAATGAAACCAACTCAACTACTGTAATAACCACAGATGTATAAAATCTCCCAATGATTGTTCTGAATATGTTTTGAGTTGCAAAGTTTTGTTAATATGTCAAATTTTTTCCATGTCCACTAGTATTCAGCTCCTCTCTTCTCACTTGATAGCCAGAATATGATAAAAAGATACGTATTTATTTGATTCCTATGTACTTAAAGACTATATTTAAGTTATATTGTTTTCTAAATAATCAGCTTATTTAACAATAGTTTAATGATTGAGAACTCAAAACAGCATGCTAGTGCATTAATATCTGTACAATTATTCCATCACTTTGTAGAAACCAGCCTATGGTTCAGTGGACAAAATAACAATGGGGGAAAGGGAGACATGGAAAGGTAATAGGAGTTGGCAGAGGTAGAGAATTTTGACTCAAAACATCCAAAGAAACCAGGCTGTGGAATAGGAACATCTAGACAACCTATATAACATTAAAAGTTCAAGAATTTCCTAGCATTCATTATATTTACAGGTTTGTGGCACTTACAGCTAATAGGGATCCTGCAAACCTTCTAAATCCAAAGTCACTCATTTAGCAGATAAGGAAATTGTGACCTGGTGAAAGTAGGTGACTTATCCAGTTAGTGACAGATCAGAACTACATACCACGTCTTTTGGGGCTGTCCAGTTAAACGCTCTCACATTTTCTCTCCAGTGTCAAGTCTCTGATATCCAAAGCAGAATCTGCAGTAGGATATAACAGAACTTATCTTCAGCATGAATCTTCACTGTTTATAACATTAGCTACTTCAATCTTCTGATATAAAGTAAATTTTATCTTCTAAATTAAGATTTATCCACTTTTATATGATTTCTCTGCAGTGGTCCGTGTGGTATATATCTGATATGGTATATTGTACTTTAACTAAAAGATTCTAACAATCATTACATTTATTAGGTTTCTACATTGCGTGACTTATCTGATTATTACTAAAAGTTAATCATGCTGAAGGAGCCAATGAGAACTTCCCTTACGTATGAGTTCTTTGATGTCGTGTAAGGTTTGTACTCCGGCTGAAGGCTTTTCCACATTCATTACATTGATAGGGTTTCTCTCCTGTGTGAGTTCTCTGATGTACTGTAAGGGATGAATTCTTAATGAAGGCTTTTCCACACTGATCACATTCATACGGTTTCTCACCAGTATGAATTCTTTGATGCTCAATAAGGTATGCGGTCTGGCTGAATGCCTTTCCACATTCATTGCATTCATAAGGTTTCTCTCCAGTGTGAATAACCTGATGTACAGTAAGGGATGATCGTCCAGTGAAATGTTTTCCACATACTATGCACTCGTAAGGTTTTTCTCCAGTATGAATTCTCCGATGTTGAGTAAGAGATGAATTCTTACTGAAAGCTTTTCCACACTGATTACATTCAAAAGGTTTTACTCCAGAATGAAGTCTCTGATGTTCTATAAGGTATGTACTTTGGCTAAAGGATTTCCCACATCTGTTACATTTGTAGGGTTTTTCTCCAGTGTGATTTCGCTGATGTAGGGTAAGAGTTGAGCTCTTACTAAAGGCTTTTCCACATTCACTACATTCATAGGGTTTTTCTCCAGTATGACTTCTCTGATGTACAATAAGATGCATGCTTTGACTGAAGGCTTTTCCACATTCATTACATTCATAGGGTTTTTCTCCTGTATGTGTTCTCCGGTGCACTGTCAAATTCATGCTTTGGGTAAAAGCTTTCCCACATTCATTACATTTGTAGGGTTTTTCTCCAGTATGAATCCTTTCATGTTGAATAAGAGATGAATTTTTACGGAAGGCTTTTCCACACTCTTTACACTGATAGGGTTTCTCTCCAGTATGTGTTCTTTGATGAACAGTAAGATTCATGCTCTGACTGAAGGATTTTCCACATTCATTACATTTGTAGGGTTTCTCTCCAGTATGAATTCTTTGATGTACAGTAAGTGAGGAGCGTTCAATGAAGTGCTTCCCACACACATTACACTTATAGGGTTTCTCCCCAGTATGAATCCTGTGGTGCTTAAGAAGGGATGAGCTCTGGCTGAAGGTTTTCCTGCACTCATTACATTCATAGATTTTCTTTTCTACAAACATTCTTTGAGTTTTAGTTAACTCATAATTTTGTTTGGCATCTTTTCCACGTGCATTCCAATTATGGGGCCTTTTTGCCATACGAATGCTTGATTGTGTATCAAGGATTGAACCCCGACTGGAAAATCTTTCAAATTCATTACCTCCACATACCCTCCTCTCAGTGAGGGTTTCCTTATGGGTAACTGCCACTTGGCCCAGATGTCTATCTTGTTTTTCTTGTTGCCCCTCTAACCAATTATCAGGCTCCCAGGTTTCCTCTAAAGTAGAATGCCAGAGACCTTCCCTTTCCATTATTACCCCATGGGATAAATCTTCAGTAACGCTGGGCTTTGGAGTTGACTCTTTGGTTTCAAGTCGTGTCTCCCAGTCTGAAAAAAATAAAAAATTCAGTGCACATTGGTTTCTGTGCTGGGAAATTGAAAACTATATAAGGTGGGAATAAGACAATGAAACTAGAATAACTACTGGGCACATTTGAGAGCTTTCAAAGGTGTCCCTACAAATAGAGAAATTGGAAAGAAGGGAATGAATATTGAACTGGTCCACAGGTAACAGAGGATGGCAGACCCACTGGGTAAGCAGAGAAGAGTGAGCCCATTCAGGAGGGATGGACATTGAAATCCCTGACCAGTGGACTAGGCTAAATAATGAAGATGGCACTAAGGGAAAATACACAGAAGAGCTGGGGTTTGGAAGAGGCAGATCAGAGAGCCCGGCCATCCTGTACCTGGTATTCCTACCAGCAGTTTCTTCCCTCTTGCAAGGCTGCTTAGAGTTCTACACCAAGTTAATCTCCATAAAACATCACAGTGTGACACAGTGAAAAAAAAGACTGTTGAGCTGGCATCAGAAAAATCTGGATTCAAACCCCTGGATTCAAAATCTGGATTCAAACTCTTAACATCTTGTCTAGTTACTTGTCTCTCTGAGTCTGAGCTATCACATATATAAAGTGAAGATAAAAATAATCTGATCATGAGTAAATAAGATAATGTATAAAAACTACACTTTGGGAACACGCTCATCTGGAACATAAAGTACCAGAACATACTTGAAACTTAAACTCTAAAGGGAGGATGACACAATGTAAAAGCTTTTTCCCCTTAAACTTCCAACAGGCTGTAATTTTCTCACAGGGGTAAGAGAGTTTTAAAGGGCTCTGCCCTTTCCTGAGTATCCATTCCTTAAAGATGAGAGCTGGTGGCAGAGACAGGCAAGGGGGAATCTGCTGAACTGCCTAAGAGAGGCTGAAGGAAGAACCTTGTAGCCACTCAGACTTTATTTTCTCAGATCCTCTTTCCTATCCCAGACAAAATTAGCAGAAGATAGGAACTACAATCTGAGAATCAGCCTTATGACTGCTGATCAAAGTCAACAGAGCAGAGACCGAACACTGAACCAAAAACCCAAAGCCTGTGAGAAGAGGCTTTACTGTGAGGCCAGAGGCATGAATTAACCAGGCCCCTTCTCTCCAACCCGACCTACTACATAAAAAGAAAGAAAAAGTGGCAAGTCAAGCAGGCTTCACATCCAAAACACACACTGCCAGGTAACCCCAAAGAGAGGACCTATCCGATTGAGTATGAAAATATCAGCAGGCAACACATGAACTGGAGGCTGCCTCTTGCCCCACCTCACTATGGTCGCATCCAGCTATCCAACTCAAGTTCACTCGGAACATTTAAAGCGATATCCAGTAAATAACTTAAAGAGCAAAGTAGAATCATTCATACTATTAGACAAATAAAAGGCCGGATAGAACTTCCTTTATTCAAAGATAAATGATACCCAGAAAATATTCAGTTTGGGAATTATGAAGAGGTTGAGGAAATAAATTTTAAAAATAATAAAAACAGGAGAACAAGAAGAAAAGAGAAGCATAAAAACCAAAAGGGAGAATAAGTGCTTCCAGTCATCAAAAGACAACATAAAGAAAGCTTAAAAATAAAAACATACTACCTACTGGGAGAAGATGTTTACAACACATGACCCACAAAGAATTAGAACCTAGACCTGCAAAAACAATGTCTGTGAAACACTAGGCCCACTAGAAAAACTGGCAAAAAGACTTGAACAAGCACTTAAGAAAAGGAAACGCAAATGGTCTGTAAACATAAGCACAGATGCCCAATCTCAATAGTAACCAGGGAAAGGCAGATGAAAGCCACAATGAGATATCATTTCCACATCCACCTGAGGAACAAAATGTAAAAATCCAGAGTGATAGCTTTAGATTTTAGAAAGGTGTGTGGTAATGGGAACTTTCACATACCGCTGGTGGGAGTGCAATTTGGTACAAGTATTTGAAAAATGTTTTAGTACAACCTAGAACAGGCACATAGACTATGATTTAGCAAATCCACTCCTAGGTACATATACTTAGGCAAGTCTGCCTTGCAGCAGAATACCAGGACTCAATTTTTTTAAGTAGCAATGTGCACAGTAGCAAAAAATTAAAAACACCCCAAATGTCCATCAATAAGGAATGGATAATTAAATTGTCAAGTATTTATAAAATGGATAACAGTGGATGAATGGATAAATTGATAACATTGATAAATTGATAACAGTGAAAATTAATATGAATGAATAATTTAAGGAAAGGCACATGCGGGGAACGTGGCCAGTGTTCCCTGCAAAAAACCGGGTCCCTTTGGTAGAGTTGCAAGGGATAAGAAAATAATAGAGAGAAATGGAAAATGGAAGAAATAAAAGAATACACTGAGACAAAGATATAGTTTTATAAGTTTATAAAGATTATAGGCAAAGCGGGAGCTCAGGGGGCTCGGACCTCTCCGTCGGTCTCAAAAAGCCCCGAATGAGGTCTTACATGGTAACTTATAGAAAATAGTGAACAATTGTCAGGGGTAACAAATTTACATAACAACAGGTAGTTCTTCTCAGGTTAACAGATTTTCAAAAGGCTTCTACAGATTCTTTAACTAATTCTATTTACGTGAACAAACGGTTACAAAGTCTTTCAAAGGTTAATTTCTAAATTCTAAGGTAAGTTTATCATTTAAACAGAGGGGTTAAACAGAGATATGTAAGCTCCATGTTTATTAGGTTATTGTGAATGGAGACAGGTAGTCTAGAGTGGTTTAAACAAAAGCTTTGCTTTTGGCCCTTTGGGAAGCTGGCCTTTCTGGGAAGCTGTTTGTTCCAGAGGGCACTCCATCGTCAGCTCTCAGCCTATAGTTTTTAACAGATTCGCTTGTGCTTTACAAAGCAAATCCAATTCTTTAGGTCTGAGAAATGCGGCGCCTCGTGGGATACAGCCGCTACTGCCTTTCAGAGACGCCCTTCCAGTGTAACAGCATTCGAAATGCAAACCAGCACATTCACCTATGCCGTCAGGGCAAAGCTCTATAAAACTCCTAAGACAGATCCTGTCCCCAAACACGTTTAATACTAATTCATGGAGCAACAGGCACAGAAAATACATATAGTAAGATTCCATTTAGATAAAGTTTTAAAAGTTTTAAAATAGACGAAAACTAAATATATTGTTTAGAGATTCACTGATACATGACAATACTATAAAGAAAATAAAGGGAAGGGAATTATCACAGAAGTCAGAATAGTGGTTACATCTCGGGTAGAGGTAAGAGGATGTGAATGAGGAGATGTACACAAAGCATTTCCAAGACACTAGCAATGTTCTGTTTCTTGATCTGGGTTCTGGTACGTGGGTGTCTGCTTTCTTTATTCTTCATAAGTCTTTATCATTATGAACTATAAAGAGAAGTAGTATGGTGTGCTGGTTAAGATAACAACTCTGAAGCCAGATTACCTGGCTCCAATTTGAGCTCCACCATTATTTCTGTGTGACCTTGGGCAGGTTTCTTAACCTCTCTGCTCCAGTTTTTTCATCTGTTAAATGGCACCTATCTCATAGTGTTGATATAAGAACAAAAATTAGTTAATGTTTATAAAGGGCTTATAAGAGTATGTAGGTTTTTGTTAAATAGTATATTTTATACACTCTTGTATATATATTTCAAAAATCAAATCAGAAAAAGAACAAGGAAGTATTTGCTGTTCTGGAAAGTATTAATCATTTTAAGTTCAAACATCCTTCTGTGCTACAGAAAACTTAACAGCAGGTATTCACTATATTTTCATGGAGTTTAGAGACCTAACTTAAAAGTTAGTTTTGAAGACTTATGCTTAAGAAAAAAAAATAGATTACCTACACATATTTTAAAAACTGGCCTAAGAGATTTTCCCAGGAACACAGGATGCCCAAAGGCAATGGGGCCACATCTGCAAGGACTGAGAAAAGACTAATGTGAGTCAAGAATTCAGCCTGGCCAGCACGCTATGCGTGGGTCGAGAAGACAAAAACACATTTTTAAGCATGAAAGATTCAGTAATTACAGTGTTCCCAAACCATTCCTGAACTATTATTTAAATATTCTGTTTGAACAAAAAATAAACTTGAATGGGGAAGTTGGTTTGGGTATGAAAACACTGGCAGTGAAACACTGAATCCACTTAAGAATAAAGTAACCAACACAGGTAAATATTAAAGTGATGACAATTGATTAATTTAATAAGGAAAAGCTAATGTAATAAAAATAATGTGATAACAGACTGGAAAATGCTTACAAAAAAATAAGAACTAGAAAGCAGGGATAATATAGGCACACTAATTTTTTTTTGTAAGAGGAATTAAGAAAAGGTTTTATTTCTGAAAATAATAAATTAAGAAACACATAGTGCTCGAAATCCTCGCCACAGCAATTAGGCAAGAGAGAGGTATTAAGGGTGTCCAAATAGGGACAGACGAGATCAAACTCTCGCTCTTTGCCGATGATATGATATTATAGCTAGAAAACCCCAAGGACTCATCTAAGAGACTCCTAGAACTGATAAATGAATTCAGCAAAGTCTCAGG